ACTCAAATCCACCAACAGTAGCCATGCTCTTAAACCAATCCCAAAAGGACAAACAATGGACCAAATTCGAAATCCAATTTTGAGGAAGACTGCCAACATTCTCTGGCAAGACCAAATCGAAATCCAATTGAGGAAGACTGCCAACATTCTCTGGCAAAATCACACTGCACAAACACATGAAACACATCTTCCTCACAATACTGACAAAATGCACAAAGACCATCAACATGCAGATTTCGTCCCTGCAACACTTTAATACAAGGAACAACATTATTCAATAGCCTCCAAATAAAATAAATACACTTAGGAGGAATATGCAAACCCCAAATTCTCCTCCAAAGACCCACCTGCAACAACTGCTGTTCTGTTGGCTCAATAAAAGTAAGATGACGATAAGCACTTTTAACTGAATAGACACCTTTTTTATCAAACCTACAAAACCACACATCATCACCACCACGCCTACTCAAAGGAATAGAAATAATTTTAGCAGCATCTTGAGGCACAAAATTATTAGAAATAACCTCCATATTACAGCGGTGATTCTCAATGAGATCTGAAACCCACAGTAAACCAGTAGCAATTGGCCTAGGCGTCACAATTTTCATTAAAGATACTGATGGCAACCAAGCATCCTGCCAAATGGAAATAGTAGAACCGGAACCTACCCGCAAACAAGCACCCGCACAAATAACTCGCCGGCTTTCCCAAAGACTGCGCCATAAAAAACTAGGTCTATTACCCAAACTCGACTCAAGAAAATTAGTGAGAGGAAAATACTTAGCTTTCAACAAAGAAGCCACGACAGAAGTCGGATTCATGAAAATCCGCCAAGCTTGCTTTCCTACCATGGCTAAATTAAACTCATATAACCTTCTAAACCCAAGACCACCCAAAAACTTCGGTCTACACATCCTTTCCCAATAAACCCAAGACCACCCAAAAACTTCGGTCTACACATCCTTTCCCAACTAATCCAATTAATTCCCCTTCGTTGCTGCATATCACGTCCCCACCAGAAACTACACATTATGCTCTGAATTTCCTTGCAAAGAGATTTAGGAAGCAGAAACAAATTCATAACATAATTAGGTAAGGCTAGTAGTACAGTCTTCATCAGTATTTCCTTCCCCGCTCGTGACAAACAATTCCGCTTCAGGGAATTTAACTTCTTCCAAACTCGATCCTTGATAAAGCCGAAAACCTCTCTCTTAATGAGACCAATACGAGTTGGTAAGCCCATATAGTAACCCAAATCTAGTTTTTCTTCCACACCCATAACACCACAAACTTGTAATCGAACCAATTCCGAAACATCCAATTCCGAAACATTCTTGGAGAAACATAAAGAAGATTTGGAGAGATTAATAAGCTGACCTTATGCTTGAGCATACCCATTAATAATTCCTCGAAGATTTGGAGAGATTAATAAGCTGACCTGATGCTTGAGCATACCCATTAATAATTCCTCTCACCATAGCTGCTTCAGAAGTATCAGCCTTAAAAATAAGCAAACTGTCGTCAGCAAAAAATAAATGGTCAATAAAAGGAGCCCCACGAACTATAGAACAACCATGCCACAGTCCTGCATTAACAGCAGATTGAATCATGCGGGAGAGACCCTCCGCACAAAGAATAAACAAATAAGGTGAAAGTGGATCCCCCTGACGCACACTACTAGACGGAACAATAGGACCCAAATGGTTACCCTTATGCAAAATCCAATAAGAAACCGTTGAAACACACCCCATTACCAAACTAATCCACTGATGGTTAAACCCCATCTTATCCAAAACGACAGTAATATAACTCCACTCTAACCTATCATAGGCTTTTGAAATATCCATCTTCAATGCCGCATACCCATCCTTACCACTCCTCTTATTAAGAAAAAATGCATCAACTCAAAAGCAATAATGCTATTATCCTGTATAGAACGGTTAGGAATAAAAGCACATTGCGATGGAGAAATAATGTTAGACAAAATCTGCCGAAGCCTATTAGCAATAACTTTGCTCATAATCTTATACACAACATTGCATAAAGCTATTGGCCGTAAGTCACCCATACTTTCAGGAATATCCTTCTTTGGAATAAGCACAAGGAGAGTATTATTTAATTCACTAGGAAAAACACCCTGACTCAAATACTGGATGCAAACCTGTGAAATTGAAGGACCAACAATATCCCAATAATTTTGATAAAACACTGGATTAAAGCCATCCATTCCAGGAGCTTTATCAGGCTTCGTACTAAATACCGCCACTTTAATCTCATCCGCAGTATACGGAGCCATAAGGTCAGCATTCATATCCGGTGTCACACATACAGGAACATGATCCACAACCGGGCCAACATCACCTACATTAGTAGTAAATATATCAAAAAAAATACCCCGTGATTAGCTTATCCAAACAACCCGAATCATCCTCCACCCAAACACCCTCAGCATTCTTTAATTTAGAAAATTGATTCTTTTTAAAACGTATAGATGCAGCCATATGGAAAAAACGGGTATTCTTGTCTCCCTCCTTAAGCCAAAACGTCTTAGACCTCTGCTTCCAATGAATTTCAGGATCATTCAATAAATCATGAAAATTTTTTTTAGCCGTAATAAAACTTTGAATATCTGCAGGAACTCTAGAACCCCGAAGCACATTCATAATCCGTCTATAATCTGCCAACAAATTCCTATCAAAATTACGTTGCTCCACACCCCACCGGTCCAATGCTGAACTACAAAAAGCCAATCTGTCTAACAAGTCCATATCTTGCGAAGCAACCCACCCAGTCCATATCTTTGCGAAGCAACCCAACTATCATGAACCAAGTTGACGACAAGCTGGATTCTAACTGAATTTTCAAACTTAAACGGTTCTAGCCACTTGGATGCGGTCTATATAAGTTCGAACTTCCAAAAATAACGGTAGATGATCAGACGAAGAGGTATCAAGAACATGAGCACGTGCCAAAGGAAACAGACCAACCCAATTAGCCGAAGCAAGAACGCGATCAAGTTTCTCCTCAATAAGAACATTAGACTCTCGACCATGTTCCCAAGTACATGGGTAACCACCCATAGGAAAATCAGTAAGACCAGCATCTAAGATAGAATCACGAAAACCATTAATCAAACTCTGAGGCTGCCCCCCCTTTCTTTTCATGTTGGTGAAGAATATCATTAAAGTCACCCAAACAAACCCATGGCAGCTCACTACATTAAGCCAAATTCCTAAGCAAATTCCATGATTCAAAATGACGATTACGATCAGGTTGCCCATAAAAGCCAGTAAGCCTCCACTCACCCACCTGATCAACCACTACCTCAACATCAATGCATCGTAAAGGAATATTAAGCTGTCGTACTAATAAAACAGACTTCCATAAGAGCGCTAAACCTCCACTATGACCCACAGAATCAACCACAATACACCCACAGAATCAACCACAATACAATCATCATAACCCAACAAAGTTTTTATTTCATTAATTTTATTAAAAGAACAAAGAGTCTCAATAAGAAAAATAAAAGTAGGCCTTTTTTCTAAAACAAGAAATTGAAGACATTGAATATTTCGTGGGTTGCCCAGCCCACGGTAGTTCCATGAAAGGCAACTCATTTCTTCTGGCGGCCCTGCATTCCGGGGGCGGCCGATATCACATTAGTTGGACCAGTAGGCATACTCGTTGAAGAAGCAAAACCTTGAGGCCCTGCATTCCGGGGGCGGCCGATATCACATTAGTTGGACCAGTAGGCATACTCGTTGAAGAAGCAAAACCTTGAGTCACTCCTTGGAGCTGATCCTGACCCACACGTTGACGTTTAACATCACCAACCTCAAGCTCATCACCCATACCAAGAGTAGAATCCTGACCAAGTCCTTCTAGGGATGAACTATTTGCATTCACAACAAGTGGATTAGAAAATATTTGTCCCTGATGCACTCCACCAAAACTTGTCTTATTCAAAATAAAGACCCCATGCTGGCCCACCATATCCGCAGCCATCACACCACCAACACCCTCCTTTTTACCAGACCTAACATTAGAATTGTCATCGTTACCACCCAAAGGACGCAACCAGCTGTCACCAACAGGCCTTTGCACCCGACGATTTGATGCACGCAAGTTTTGAGAAAAACGACGAATAGCTTTACCAGGTTCAAACTCAAGCAATTTACGGCAAAAACGTTCAGTGTGGCCAAGAAAACCACAGATAAAGCAGAATACTGGAAGTCTTTCATAAGAAAAGTAAACCGTAAAAGACTCCCCCGTGGAACGCTTGATGCTAAACTCCTCCCTAAGCGGCCGACGAACATCCCACTTTACTCTCATACGCATATAGGAGTCCCAACTAATCTCAAAATTCTTCGAATCAGCCTCCATAAACTGGCCAATCCTATCCCCAATATCTTTTAAAACTCGTTCTGACCTAAAACCAGAACGCAACCCCTTAACTTGAACCCAGAGAGGGACAAAGAATAATGGAACATCAAGGTTATATATTTCTCTATAAGAAAAGTAAACCGTAAAAGACTCCCCCGTGGAACGCTTGATGCTAAACTCCTCCCTAAGCGGCCGACGAACATCCCACTTTACTCTCATACGCATATAAGAGTCCCAACTATTCTCAAAGTTCTTCGAATCAGCCTCCATAAACTGGCCAATCCTATCCCCCATATCTTTTAAAACTCGTTCTGACCTAAAACCAGAACGCAACCCCTTAACTTGAACCCAGAGAGGGACAAAGAATAATGGAACATCAAGGGAAGTAGGATAACTCCCAAGCCTTTCCAGAAGCAAAAGCTGATTATCAAAAGTGCATGGACACATCAATAGCACCCGATGGACGTCAACCTCATGGAAAAACTGGAAAACATAAACCCCTCCATTGATCTCACGAATCTGCATACCCTCCAAACAAAGCGTTGATATTTTGATTTTGAACTAAATACTTAATTGATAAAATAAATGAATAAAAAATAAAAATAAAAATTTCAAAATTCAGAACACCAATTGTATGATTAGTCTTTGTTGATTGCTTACCACAATTATCTGGCACTTATATTGTCTGTGACGAAAGACTATAAAATCTGTTCACAAATTTGGGTGAGTTGTCATCAATTTGCAGGGTAGTTGCGTTTACTGGTTTAGGCATGCGTCGTCCGGTAGAAGCAGAAAAATCATAACTATCCTTCAAAAGAATTTGGTACCATCTACCTTATCAAATTCGAGTTAAAGTCAATTCCCACCTCACTTCCTCTCCACTCTGCAACTCGCTGATCATCGCGACGCCGTTTCTTATCGAAGAAAAACCAATAATGGCTTTGAAATCCTTCATTGACGTCCATCCCGATTCTCATTTCCCTATCCAGAATCTTCCCTATGGAGTATTCAAGCCTCAACCGAGTTCGCCGCCTCGGCCCGCCGTGGCAATCGGCGACTACGTTTTGGACCTCTCCGAAATTGCTCTTGCCGGCCTTTTCGACGGTCCTATTCTCAAAGGCTCCGATTGTTTTCTGCAGGTTCATTTGTTTAAGAGACGTAATTGTTTGTTTAATTAGACCTTTTTACGGGCCAATTTGATCCTTTGCTTGGTTTGCAGCTTAACTTGAACAAATTTGTAGCCATGGGACGACCGGCATGGAAGGAAGCTCGCGCTACACTTCAAAAGCTGTTGTCATGTATGCTTATTTACAAAATGGAGAATCATTTTTTCTTTCTTTCAATTCTGTGTTATATATTATAATTATTGTTGGTATTTTTTAATTTTCTGATACAGCTACTGAACCGACATTGCGTGACAATGCAAGTTTGAGGCAGAAATCACTTGTGCTAATGGTAAGGCACATATAGAAAGCTATAATTACGTTTCTTGTGTTAAGATGAATGTTTGACTGATAGTAGTGTTGTCCTGTAATTCTATAGAGCAAGGTAGAATTGCTTGTGCCTATTGCCATAGGGGACTACACAGACTTCTTTTCTTCCATGCATCATGCTAAGAATTGTGGCACCATATTTCGGGGACCGCAGAATCCTATTCCAGCAAATTGGTTTGTTAATTTTGGAGTTTTGGGAAACTAAATCTTCTTTTCTTTGTTTTACTATGCTTTTATCTGTATGCACTTTTTTTTTTCCACAAAAAAAAAAAAAAAAAAAAAAAAATGTCTTTATCTGTATGCACTTTTTTTTTTCCACAAAAAAAAAAAAAAAAAAAAAGAGTAAATCTAATTTGGGCATTCCAGGGTTCCATCTTCCTATCCATACATGCGACGAGCTTCAATTCTAGTCGTTAATCTGGAACAGCATATTGTTAAAGACCAAGGTTATCTATTAACTTTCTTCTTCCTTTTTGTTTTTTTTTTTTTTTTTTTTTTTTTAAATTAATTAGAGTTTCTTTCTTACTTTGCCAATTGTTTGTAAGAAAATCATTTGTTAGTTTGACTATTAGAAAATAATGTCATTTTGTACACATGATATATGCCCACTATCTGGGTAGCTATTACATGTGTTCATAATCAAACTCTTAGCATATCACTCTTTACCACTTAAATGTCCATGATTATATTTTGCAAATTCAATTCCATTTTAGTTCAACATGCTGTTGAGTCCACCAAACTTATACATAAATAATTATACTAATTCTATGTCGACTTGTGCTTGTTCAGTTTTATTAGTAATTATTTTGCATGTCTGACATGTACACAAATGAAGTGATAAAAAAACTGCAAAAGCTGAATATGGATGTTATTATGTATCACAACGTATTTCACTATTGCATTCTCGACCATTTTATTCTCATGTTTTTAAATTTTTGTGTCTTCTCAGAGGTCAAGGCCATCCAACTGGAAACTCCCCGCCTTATTTCGGACCTTCAATGAAGCTAGATTTTGAGCTAGAAATGGTTGGAAGATATAACCACTTTTATCAGTATTTCTGCATATTTAAAATAATTATGTTAATTTGATGTGATAATATCTAGAATTTGGCTTAGCAATGGATGAATTATCCATCTTTCTCTTTAGTTATGGAAATATTATTTATCTCCATACACTTAAAAAATGTTATTTTTTATTTTCACTAGTTCTCATATTTCCTGCAGGCTGCTGTAGTTGGTCCTGGAAATGAACTAGGAAAGCCTGTGGATGTTAATGAAGCAGGAGATCATATATTTGGTCTTGTATTAATGAATGATTGGAGTGGTATAAATTTTTTTTTTTCTTTCTCAATTTTTAGTCCATATCTTTCAATTTTTTTTTTCAAAAAAAAAAAAAAAAAAATTTTTTTTTTCAAAAAAAAAAAAAAAAAACTGTTTGATGCTATATTTTATAAGGAGTTGGTTTTATCAGCTAGAGATATTCAGGCATGGGAATATGTTCCTCTTGGGCCTTTTCTTGGGAAGAGTTTTGGTAAGCTTCAAAGTCTTAATTCTCCATTAAACCTCAAAGTCCATTTGTTGCATTTGTTGTACAGGATATTAAACTGTTAGATTGCTGGTTTTTTAAAGTTTGTCTGCCCTTGCAATTCATAGTTTAGCCGGTTAATCTGCAAAGCAAAGGCCTTACTCTTTCTCATCTATCATACAGGTACTACAATATCTCCTTGGATTGTAACACTTGATGCTTTAGAGCCTTTTGCTTGTGATGCCCCCAAACAGGTATAACTTCAGTTTTCGCAGAAAATAAAACCATTTGAATTGGTTTGTTTTCCAATTTCTAGCATATTGACTGCTGTGTGATTTATGCTCTAAATTGCAGGATCCGCAACCGTTGCCATATCTGGCTGAAAAGATATCAAAAAACTATGACATTTCATTAGAGGTGGGATGTAGCAGCCATTTTGTAATTTTCACTTAATTCAGAATTGATAAAGTTCGTTGCCTTTTTATACCATGATTGTTTATCATCTGCATATGCATCATAATCTTTTCAGGCCTTAAGAAAAACTGTGTCTTACTTCATTTGTTAGTTTTCAAATATAGATTGCGTGGTATTGATAAATGACCTTTTGTTGCAAGGTTCAAATTAAACCGACTGGACAAGAAGACTCGACTGTAGTCACAAGAAGTAATTTCAAGCACTTGTAAGAATTCACTTTCTTTGTTGCAGTATTGACATTTTAAGTAGCTTTAAACGATACTTGTTTCTCTTACACAAATGACCTTGATATCATTAAACGCCGGGTGACATGAGCTTTCATATAAACAAAGGAACATTAACTCAGAAGACAACTTTTTTCTGGTTTTATACTTCAACTTATGTTTTGATTTGTTGCTCATGTAAATGATATATAATTCATCTCTTGAATTATTCATGCAACAGATATTGGACATTGACACAACAGCTTGCACACCATACAATCAATGGTTGCAACCTAAGGCCAGGCGATCTACTTGGCACTGGGACAATCAGCGGACCTGTATATTTCTTAGTGCATTATAAGATTGTTCATAATCCTAGTACTCTGCGCCTTAATCATATATACTAAGTCCCGTATTGAGGAACTGCCTCTTATTTTTGCAAACAGGAGCCAGAATCATATGGATGCTTATTAGAGCTAACATGGAATGGACAAAAACCTTTGTCATTAAATGGAGCAACACGGAAATTCCTGGAAGATGGAGATGAAGTCATTTTCAGTGGTTTCTCCAAGGTTCTTAATCTTTGCTCCTTGTCCTATAGCATTATGTAGCCATCTTTTTATATCCATGCTCAGGGGACTCATCCATACATGTCATGTAAAAACATGAATTTGTGGCCATCCATTTAGTTCCATGCTCAATAGTTTCATTCATATATCTCCTTTAAAACACCATTCTTCTAATAATCTTCCTTTTCTTTTTTTTACCACATAATTATTACTCTTCCCTTTTTTTTTTTTTTTGGTTTTGGCAAAGCAATCTTTATTCTTAGAGGAAATTTGGCTGTATTGAGTGTTTTCCTTTTTTTTTTTTTTTTTTTTTTTTTTTTTTTTTTTTTTTTTTTTTTTTTTTTTTTTTGTTTTTTTCTTTCTCTACTGGTTGTCTTCATTTCCTATACTGAGCTTCAATAAAATTAAGCTGTTGACTTATCTTTTCTGACACATTTTCAGTCATTCATGTTCTTGTGAAGCTTACGCGTGCTTTTTCACGAGCATATTGACTACCCAGCCAGTAGTCTATATTTTATCACTTGAACATTTATTGCATATACTACATGGTCTTTTAAGTTGTAGTGATGGAAGCTGCTATTCAATAATTTTGCATTATTTTTCTTTCCAAATATTTCAGATTGCACTAATGATCTTTCTTTTCTGGAAAAATCGGAAACTATGAGCTCAACCATGATGCCCTGATTTTGTCTTAACACTTGTACTCTTGCTGGAATAAGAATCTGCTTTACTTATCCTACCTCCTTTAAACACAGTTATATGAATACGGCTTTCATACTTCTCACTTTTCGGATCTTCTCATATTTGTTGCAATTCGTCAGTTTGTCTCGTGTGAATTGGTAAAAATAACCTACTTTAAATCCATATGCAGGGAGATGGCTATAATGTTGGGTTTGGAACATGCTCCGGAAAAATTCTTCCATCCCACTAAGGTTAAAATTGCTGTTCTAGTTGGTACATTGTCAATTGGCACCGCGTAAGTTCTTTTCATTTTCTTATTATTTTTTACTGTCAATGACTAAGTTAAGCTCTTAAGAAGTATGAAAATGCGAACTGTTGAATAAACAAAATATTAAGCCAGGTAGCATTTGCTAATTTCTGGTGGTTGCAAAGTCAAATTGTACGCCTAAAAGAGCTGTGTAGAACGGAAATGGTTGTGGCAATTTTAAAGTTCTGAACTTTGATTAATTTGAGTTCTGAGAAGTAAATGAATATAATGTTGGTCCAATAATTTATTTAAATAAATGAAACTCAGTAAGTATCGTAGGAGCCACAGGCTTGGATTAACCAGTATCCTATTTCTAGAATAAGGTTGAATTTTCATTCACAAATTGAACTAAAGGCAAGTATTGAAATATGTGAAGAGGTTCCCCAAGTGCAAGCTATGGTTAAAGCCCTTGGGCTGTT